AGGGCACAGGGCAGGGGGACACCCTGGATGGGATGCCAGTCCGTCACAGGGCACAGGGCAGGGGGACACCCTGGATGGGATGCCAGTCCGTCACAGGGCACAGGGCAGGGGGACACCCTGGATGGGATGCCAGTCCATCACAGGGCACAGGGCAGGGGGACACCCTGGATGGGATGCCAGTCCCTCACAGGGCACAGGGCAGGGGGACACCCTGGACGGGATGCCAGTCCTTCAGAGGGCACAGGGCAGGGGGACACCCTGGACGGGATGCCCGTCCATCACAGCGAAAGGGTTTGTAGTGGGAGTGGAAACGCATGCAAACACAGGGAGAACCTGCAAGCTCCACACTGCACCCCCAGCAACTTCCCAGAGATGTTCATTAATTAAATTAATTAATTTAGTGAGCTAGTGGTAAAATTTAAGAAGTACGTGGAATAGCTTCAGTGCCCCTGAGGAGAGGCCAACTATCCAATTAGATATAATTAGATATCAGTGACTTTTTGGAGAACAGAAGAAATTCTTATTACGTTTGGCTCTATTAATGTTTATTTGTATGCATATATTCTAATGTGTTTTTTTCTCTGTGTAAATATACTTTTACTGCCCAGATAAATAGCTTTAAACATCATCCCCACAGGGGTGCATAAAGTATCTCTCTCACTCTGTAAACAAGATTTTCTTTGGCAGCCTGAGATTTTCCACAGTGCTGTAAAGCGTGCATTAATCAGAAAGCCGTGTGCTTTTAAAAGACATAAAGACTGCATCACGATGCATCGCATGAGCCTGAACACGTTGCGTGTTGCAGAAACGGCGCTCACGGGAAGTTTTGGGATGCTGAATTACAAATTTATTGGTTTTATAACAAAATCATCAATTTATTCTTTTGGTTAGAAAAATATATATTTGGGAACAATCAATAGTTTTAAGAAAAACATTAATTTCAAGTAGTAATAACTTGAAACCCAAAATGTAGTTACTGTAGTATCTTCTTAGAAGTCAATGACTACAGTTGCAATTGATTGCAAAATGGTAAGAAATGAACTGAATGAGTCAGTCAAAAAAAAAATTAAAACTATGACGCTTAATTAAAAGAAAATGTTTGGGCGAAAGATATGTTCAGATATGTTAACCGTTCAATGTACTTTTGTCATGAAACCAGTAAATCTGCAACATTATTACAGAATTAAGCAAGCACCCCAAGACTTTCTGCGAACATTGTATGCATCCTGTGAAAACTTGTTCAAGCTTTACCATGTTCTGCAGATCCTGCATGCTGGCAGGGGATTGATACGATAAACAGACTTTCATTTTTTAATGCTTATTGTATACATAGGGGTCAATGACACATTTATAAAGGATAGCTTAAAGCATTTCATCACTACCATTTACTTTCTAAAAAACTGGTGTTCTAAAGCAAGGAGTTTAATAATTAATTTTCAGCCAGCGAGAAACCTTTCCGCCTCCCATATCCATCAGCAAACTGCATATTATTTATTTCCAAAAGTAAACACGGGCTGTCCTTCAGTTTAACTGAGTGCCATCCAGAATCATCAATCATAGGAGTAACACATTGCACATGGAGCCTGTGACCCTCATCAGCCACCGTAGTCCATGCTTACTGGTTGGAGCATGTCAGGTTGCCAGAGTCACAGTCCGTTTCCACGAGAGTAAAAACACCAGCAGGACAACATGATTATTTGTTCAGTTCGAATGACATCATAGCTGCTAGTTAATCTCTGCTTAGATTAGATTCTCGGCAAGGAAGAGAGCTACGAAAAACCGGAGGCCTTTTCAGTTTGCATCCACATTTGTCATTCTGCTTATTAAAATAATTTATAGACAGATACTCTGTGTCTGAGTGCTCCGTGAGTCATACATTTATGGCAGTCGCTATACCCATAATCCACTTCAGTGACTGTGCAGGTTCCAACCTCAGCTGCAGTCGGCATTTCCATATTTACTGTGTTCCTTTAGAAACAGACTCTGTCAGACTCCAACAGGAAAAACGACGCTGTAAGCAGGGCCAGGCCCCCTGTCACATCGTGTGTCTACACATCACGAGCAGAATCAACAGGGCAGGAACTGGCTTAGTCTGATATCTATCTGTTTGCATTATGTAAGGTAGAGAACAAGAAATGACATATTCCTTCTGCACGAGATTGGCTGTAAACGTTTAAACACAGATAATTGTTTCAATTTTAACATTTGTCTGTCTGTACCCACATGTTCTTTAACTTTTAGAACTGACGTGACTGTATAAGTCCCCTTATCCATCCATCCATCCATCCATCCATCCATTTTCTGAAACCCCTTATCTTATTCAGGGGGTAGCGGGTCTGGAGTCTATGGGCACAAGGCAGGGAACAACGCAAGATGGGGCACCAATCCAGCGCAGCGTTCCCCTTCATATTACACATATTTATTAATAACTTTCAATGTTACTTTACACTGTGTGTGAGCACATTACAATAAAACCATTGTAGTGAACGGTTTACAGCATGTTTACTGGGTCTAGGACGGCTGCAAACCACTGATAATGTTATACAAATGGATTTTCTTGTCACTATTCTGGAACACAGTGATGCAAGCGGTGACATTGTGTTGGGGGACAGACCTCAGCCAATGAATGTCACAAGGGGTTTACTTAGGCTGCATAAACAAAAAGAATAGTATTATATTTCAAAGATAACTTCCCTTTTGAAAGAAAATTATCATATGTATTACTAGAATGTGTCCTTTTGCAAAAACAGTATATATACCACAGAATGAAATTGCATGATAAGTTGAACTAAATTTGAAGGGGTTATCAACGTTCTGAGAAATACTGACTGATTTTCATGAACCACGCAAAAAATATTAAATGAAATAAAATTGATAGTCTAGGGATCACTTTCAATTCGCGGGAGCCTTATTACAATATCGCAGCTCTGAACGTGTCTACAAGTTAATGATGCCACAAAATAAATAAAGAAAAAACACTCCTACTCCTCATTTTTAATGAATGGCTGGGCGCGAAGTGTAATGCCATCAAGCAGCATTGCATTTTATGGGAGAGGCAATTGAAACGTCGATTCGGATCCCGGCTCCCGTTTCTCTGGCACCGCAGAAAGGAAGAGCGTTTGTGCAGAAGCCAAGCTGCCTGTTTTCACGGTGAGCTGACACGTGAGGGAGGAATTGGGGTAGGGGTTAAACAGGAGCTATAACTGGGCATCAAACAGGAGACCCTGTGGCTAATTCATCCCTTCCAAGGCGTCAAATTTCGGCCAGGTCAGGACACTGACTGGAGGAGAGGGACATGTCCGCGGGCATTGACTTGGTGCACGCTGCCTCGTGGGCTGTAGAAGATCGCTAACCAGCTTTGCGTTATTTAAACATTGTCAAAATCGCTTTATAGCCTTGTTTAGATCCCTATATGTGCACTGGATAATCATCCTTATCACAGTATCATTGCTGGCGCATTATGTAAAAGGCGCCATATTTATTTCAATGCTGAAGCAGCTGTCACTAGGGCTCCTGAAAACAGGCCATGAACCCTATGCCCCCCCCCCCCCCCCCCCCCCATTCGGGCTCCGGTGGTCGCTTCAGTGCTTCTCTGTTCGTCGCAAAGTGCACAAAACATCTGCCTGCGCTCTCAGGTTGCACACCCTCGATGACCCACACGAAGGCGCACACAGCCGTGGCGGGCATGCAGCATGCCCCGTTTTAAAACTGTGACTATCACTGGGTATTTTTGTTTAAGCACATGTAGGGACGACGGGACACGGTACTGGGACAGACTCTCGTACACCGTGCGCTAAGCCAAATGTGCAGCAGGCATATTGCCTCTGAGATTACAGCTTCCCGGTGTTTACAGATTAAAGATTACAGGTGTGTTTAGATTAGATGTTCCATGAGGATCTAATTACACCATTATGCTGTGTTTTCCCAACATGAATAGCATACTTTGCCTTTGTCAGTGTAATAATTACCACAGTATATAGCTCATTTACCACGGCGGCAAATGAAGCAGTACTGCAGAGTCAGCTTGTGAGCATGTAATAATTACTTCATTGTTGTAGCTGTCTTTAACATTACCCCTTCTCCCATGCTTGGGTCATATGTTTTTTTTTTCTGTAGCCCTCTACTGGAGGGAATTAATCCAACTCAAAGTGCAGGCGGTGTATCTGAGGTGCCATATTAAAAAGCAAAACTGTATTTTAAAGGTGCAGGTTGAATCGTAGCTGCCAGACTGGGTGATACTGGAGTGTGGAGCCTCGCCGAGAAACTTCTGTCCCTGGTGATAAAAGTGAACACGCAGAGATCCGGCTCGTGTCACCAGCCAGGCTGTTGTCAAAACATTCCTCGGAGTCTGCTGCACACCCTGTTCACGTGTTTGGCTGCTCTCCACTGTTTACAGGAGCTCCTGGGCTTGCACTATAAAGCCAGGCTGAGGTCCACTCTCGCAAACTGTTTCCTTGACACCTCAGGAAGATAACAGCTCTTTCTAAAACATATACCAGCCTAAAACTCACACCGAAAGGTAAGGTTCTATACTAACCCAATGCCTGCTGTCTATTCATTTTTTTTTGTTTATTGCAGTTACCATGTTAATACTGTGGTTTTACTCATACAGTTGTGCTAGAATTTCCACTGACAAAATGGCAGCAGTTCCGTCAGCTGGATGTCTGCTTGCAAAAAATCACTTTTACCGAAGTAAGACCGCAGGTTCATTTTCAGATCACCTTCTCCCATCGATTGAACAAATGTGCAGATCCTAATCTCTGTGTTCCTTGCTTCTTGTTGTGAAGCGCGACTCAACTCTGCCTCTAGCAGTTCCTCTTCGAGCTCCTTTCAATCTTGCTGTGATCTTGCCGGAGATCAGGAGAAGACGTCCGTCTCACATGGTAAGCATAATTGCTGTTATTACGCTGTACAGTAGTTCCCAGTACGGACATTAGCTGACATTGTGGTATTTATACTTGGTCACATGCAGGGTTTACGATCAAAGGTTTTAAACTAGCAACTCACAACTGCCGTGCATTTTAAGCTGAAAAACCAGCGTGGATGTCTTTAGCTCACAATCGGCAAGCGTGCACGTCTGACACAGCTTATTCTAAAATCCCCAGGCATACTACAAGTACCATTTGATAAATGTTGGTGGCTGAAGAAGTTCTTCACATGTGAAGTGGTTTCCCTTCATGTAACAGAACCACCCACCATGAACAGGTAAGTTTAAATTATTCCATTGCTTAGCCAAAAATGCATTGCACTTTTATTAAGTCATAAAAGTCATACGGCTTATACAAGAAGTCAAAAACAGAATTAGCATTAGTTAATATTGCCATTCACGATGCTGACAGATAAACAAACAAACAAACATAAAAAGCAATCAGTTTATCAGGAGACAGGGAACCACACATTTTCACTCAAATTAACATTTTCCAGATAAAAGAATAATTTATTTATAAGGCAGTTATTCACATTTTGTCCATTGTCTGTGGGATCCGCTAGGCAGGCTATTAAATCACTATAATTTCACATAATTGGCACAATGACAGTAACTGTTTCATGAACGACATTAGAAAATACATTAGTTTTTGGCCATTTGAATAAAAAGGCATTTTTTTCATTTTTTTTTTTTTTTTGCTGCGCATTAAAAAAGCAAGCGATTTTTGTCGGGACAAGGCACAAATGGACAATTCACATGAAAACACCCTTGTGTTAGCATACGCATCTAGTTTCCTGTCAAATCTAGATAAATTCTAGAAGGATCATATTAGTTGACATGTATAATGTTATTCTAGGTTTATTTAAGATCACTCTATAGCCGCTCTGAGGGACTCTCTCCACTCCTGTCTCTACAGTGCCAGCAGTTAATATTTGTGGACCTGGGAAGGACTTGGACCCGTCGGGAAATCTGTAAAGTGAGACCACTTGCTGAGTGAGACACCACATGTCCTTGACTCCTACATCTCCTTCCTGGAAAACTGCAGCAGAGGGGAACACAGGGATTAAGTCTAAAATGATTTCTGGGGGTGGGACACTTCTGAGCAGAGCTTCAATTGTACAGGGTGGCCTTTCACCCAGATTCAAGAAGGTACTGACTCTACAGTCTGGGAATCTCTTTGAAACGTTTGATAAACATAACATACAATGGGCCAAAGTTCATTTATAGGTATTGAAGACAAAATGCATATCATCAGTTAACACTGGAAGCTGAAAAAAAAAAAAAACGTGTAGAAAATATAGGCATTAAAGGTGTCAATAAGAGATGGAATGACGTGAAGGACCTCTTGTTAAAACAGCTCGGCCCTAACTGAAGACCACGAGACTCATCAGTTACCAGTTAGATGAATTTGAAAATGGTGGTTAAACCTGAGCATTCATACTTGTCTGTGGATACAGTTACAGAAACTTTACCAGTGGTTTAGAAACAGAAACCTCCAGTAAGGTCTAGCCATTGCTGTTCTCAACAACGGTCAAATGAAAAATGTAAAGAAAGCTTTAATGTAGGTTAGATATATTGTATGCTAACCAGTAATTCAAATAATAAATGTTGTCTTTTGTATTTATTATATTGCACATTTTGTACTGAGAAAATAAACACATTTTTAAAAGTCTACGAATGTTCTTTGAAATTCCTGAGTTTGTAAACAGATCATGTTTAATGGGAAAGTAATCTCATAATTATAAACTTTACTGTTAATGTGCAGTCATGCAATTAAAACAATCAATTCTGCTTCTATTTTTTTTTTTTTATTCTATTCACCCATATACCAAAATGGAATGGACTGAATATCTACATATGAAACCTTTTCACTTCAGAGATCATTTAAATGCAAATGTCTTCAGATGTAGATTGAATGGATTTGTTTGCATGTATATCAAAACACACCGAAAAAACCTCAAAACCCCTTCCGTCGCACAACATAATTCTAGCTGAGTGTTAAATGAGGTAAATACAGATCTTTGGTCGACTAGCTGAATATTTTATTTGTCTGTAGTCGACTTATTGTGAACACAGATTGTTGCCGAAATGTGGCTAATCCTCTGACCAAGGCAGAGCCTCGAGTGTTTTGGATAAGCGGGGTGGTACTGTAATATAACCCGGTTCACTCCAGGTACACCAAGGTAAACCCTCCACATGACAGATGTTAAACCCTACCCATTAATTCACGGTAAAAAGTGTCTGTAATCTCTCCACTGTTAATCAACGGGGATACATGTAGCTGAGCATCACAGTCAGCACCTGTGAGGTAAGACTAATGACCGCTCGCCGCTCTACTGAGCATTCCTCTCTGTCGACATAGATTTCAGGAAGAAGAAAATGTCACACATACGTAGTCCCAAAATGAAAAGGAAACGCATTCCCCCGAAGTGGCGGTTAATTAATACGTAACAGGTAAATCCCAAGTGCTACTATTTATTACTGCCTGTTTGTCAGGATTAGCGGAATTCAGCAGACGAGTTTGCAGATCCTTCGTGTTCTCTTTCAGCTACAGCCCGGTGACTTATCTCAAAATGTCTGGGAAAACTAGGGCCTGCTCTTATTTATAAAATCTGGCAAGAGCCCAGAGCTCAGAAAGAGCTGGCTGGCAATGACATTTGTGTTCCCTTAGATAGAAAGTCTCTGGTCCAACCCATCTGAGGGAGAAAGGTGCTAGCTTGTCAACTTGCTATATTTGTTTAACGGCAGCGAAGGTCTTTGGAGACTCCAAGGTCTAGTCATGACTGGATTGCCTGTGGTACAGAAAAATGGAATCTCCTTTATCCAGGTCGTGAGTGAACGGGAAATCTGAGGTCATGTGAACATCACCAAAGAAGCCAATGTTTAGCTATTGAAATATGCTACAAATTAGTCGTCCCAGATATGCATAAACGATGAAATCACCCAGTCATAGCACAATCGCTATCAGAAAACTGTAATTGGACAGTATAGTGAATAATAATAGTATTGCTTCCATTGGGTAGCAGTCATTTCAAGTACTCCATGAATTTTGAAAATCCATCCATCCATTTCTGTCCTATGCAGGGTCACAGGGAGTCTGGAGCCAATCCCGGAAGCTATTGGATGGGGCTCCAACCTGTGGCAGGGCACAAAACATGCAAGTATAACAATCAAAATCAAATTAATCTAGGAATGTGGTAGAAAAAGTCATTCAACATAAATTCTTCATATTGGAATAAAGCATAGTCATTAATCAGTATTTATGAAATTCTCCTCCTCTGAGACTTTGTTATTGTGCTGATATTGTCACTAGCAATTTCTGAATGGACCATTATTACCAGTGCAGGGATCAAAATGTTAAAATAAATTACACTTCTAAGAAATGATAAAAGACTTCTCTCACAGAAGTTACCACCAATACAGTTCATAACTCAATATTATTGCTTTTGTCATCTCATATCATAGTCAATTTAGCTACAGGTATTGTCTTCAAAAATGTTAAAATGGCTTTTTTCCGTTGCGTACTCAACACACGTTCATTTTCATAACTGGAAGTCAAATTGTTATGACCGGTATTCTTTCATCATTGAAATTTCATTGAAATGCACAATGTTATTCACACAAAGTCCATGGGGACATTGTCAGTGAAAGTGACATAAAGTTCCATTGCAAAACTTCAAAACCAAACCCTAAAATGCCAGACTTGCAGACAATATCGATGCCGTGTTAATTGTCTATACTGCAAAGCAATGAAACGTTTAATGGGTGCTCATGTAATACATGCAGGCCTCGGATATAAAAAAAATCATTAATTAAATGTCTCCCCACAAATTGAGCATGCAACATGTGCCTGATCCACAATAAAGGCACATTATATGTGTAATGATAGATGTGCAGAATGTCTCTATCATGGAATGGTCTTCACAATGGGAGCGTGTAAAACGCAAAGCACTGAGCCCATCACAATGGGCGTCTGTCTCATACAGACTCTATCACAATAACGGGCACGACCAGACTTTAAAGTCCATTTAACTGACTAAACTCAGTTTCACGGTAAAAATCAATCATACACGAGGTTTGTGTGCTACATTATAATGTTATTCCACCTTGCGGTTATTGGCTGTAAAGACAAACTGCGACAAAGAAACAACCTTACACCCAGAGTGGTTTATGAAACCTTATTTTAACATTGGGATTAGTTAACTGCAGGTTGGTTAACTAGTAGTGGTGCTACTTATCCTCCTAGACTGCGCTACGAACTAGACTGGTCGTAGCGCAAATGCATACCTACGAAATTACAACGATTGATTTCTGCGCGGATTGCTTTTAAAGATGAATGCGTACTTGCAGAGGAGTTACGTGCATACCTGAGTATTATTTATGTGTGTGTGTATGTATGTTTGTATATATTTTATATTTTAATATATCATGGGAACGATTTATTAAAACGTGGCCACGTTTCCGTTTCACATTCCCTTGTTTTAATTAAATTCTAGCCACATTTCACTCCAACATTATTAGGCCTACGATTACATAAATGGTGGCCACATATAACAACAATAATATATAGAAATAAAACTCAATTTAAGTACCTCTGTCCATAGCCCCAGACGCTGATATTTAATGGCTTAAATGAAAGTGACACATTAATCAATAAGGGGGCTACATAGTGAATCACGCCCACATTTTAATATATCGTGGGAACGAATTAATAAAACGTGGCCACGATATATGCTGTATAATTTATATCGTTATGTCGTGAGAGGGGCTACGCAAGTGTGTCTTTGAAGTTGTTAGTGAATGTCGCTTTCCCCTGCTGCGCTACATTTTTTTGCGCTACATTTGAGAAGGAGAGATCAGAGCCGGTTCTGGTTTTATGTAAGTCGAGGAAGCAGCTAAGAAGTTTAAATTATTCCGAAGAAAGGGGGATAGTGGAGCTGACAAGCGCAGGTGATGTGCAGCCGCTCGCTCGCCGCAGCAGCGGCGAAGTGTAACGTGAGCTCTCAGACAAAGCTTTGGTTTACTGCCCAATTTACGCCTCTCTCCTTATCTATAGGCATGAAGTATGGGGAGTGACTGAAAGAATGGGGTTTGTCGGTACAAGCAGCTGTAATAGGGTTCTGCTGCAGAAGTCACCGATCCAGCTTTCAGTGGTGTGGTAGGAAGTTTAGCTAGCTCAGGGAGCTTCGGAGTTGACATGGCGCTCCTTTAAATAGCAGAGGGCCAGCAACGGCCGACCTTATATGGTTGCCACTTCAACCAACAGCCAATGGGCTCCCTGGATGGGCCTTGGAAATACTAATGAGTCATAGGTCAGCCGGCTTGGGAATCCCCCCAGGAGAAGCTGACACCTTGCATGCACAGGTTTTAATCCTTAATCCTAATGGCATAGTAAATTGAAATCTATACAGCATTCCAGCATGAATACGCCTTATACCATGAAGGAATGTATATTACATATTCTGTTTGCATTTGAGGCCCATAAATCCACAATTTGGACTTATATCTAAAGTCTTCTGTATTCAAGGGTAGTGGGTGGTTTATAATTCATGAGAGAACCAAAGTGAAGCGAAAAGGAATAGATTTTATGTCAATTACACAGTAGGTCTTTAATGCTACTGTCAATAGATCTCAATACTGATTTTGGAGTCGACATTAATCTCCTCAGCCAAGACTGCTCTACAGAGAGAGGCTTTCTGCTCTCTCTCAAGATTCATTTGAGGGTGAATGTAAAAAAAAGAAAATTGCAGGTGTTTTTAAAAAACAAGATATATATTTTCATATGTATCATGGCACAGCAAAACTGTGAACGTTACCCAATTATAATGTGTAAATATTGGGCCTCAGGCTTGCATGTACGGATAGTCTTTGGGGAATGTGGAGAATGCGCTCTGTATGTAGGAATGTTAAGGGATTTATGGGGTTTGGTCATACTCTGGTGGTAAATTATTCATTATTAGAAGAACATTATTTTATAAGGGTTAAGTAAGGTCCTGAAATTGGTGTTTAAGATCTAATAAATAGAGTTAAAGTGTATAGAATTCTGAAGGTGTTCCATGTGTATAATGTTGTTTCAAGGAGCATTGCAGGGTCAGACAGAAACAAACACACACACACACACACACACAAACACACAGCGTACCTATCAAAATTTGGACCTTCCATTCATTTCTATGGGAAACTCCTAATCCCAATCACGACCCCCTTAACCCCTACCCAACCCTAACCTTAACCCCTACCCAACCCTAACCTTAACCATAAGTAACCAAACAAGAGACTTTTGGCATTTTTAGTTTTTGTATTGCATTCTCAGATCTTTGTGGGGACCTAAACAATGGTCCCCTTAATGTCACAATAACAGATTTTTATTACACTTGGTCCCCACAATGTAATATAAACATAATCTCCACACACACACCTGCACACACACACACACACACACACACCAGTGTATGTCATTTCCATGCCATAATTATAATAGGACCCCTTCAGGAACAGCGTGACCCCAACAAACAGCTTCCCCTTCACTCACATTAGTAACAAGTAGATATAATCTCCTTAACGCCGCTGAGAACTGCTGAACGCTGGCAGGGACTTCAGAGGCGGTGTTCAGGCGTGCGAGACAGTGCGTGGGAACTTCATTATTTCCAAGACCCCCCTTTTCATGTATAATT